AAGGACGGGGCTTCCTGGGGAGAACGTGGGCCGGTGCTGGCCGGGACGGGGAGAACGTGGGCCGGTGCTGGCCGGCACAGTGCGCTGCCGTGCGCACCTGGGAATCCGTGGGCCCCCTGGGCTGCTGCGAGCCGGAGGGAAGGGCACAGCCCCAGGCGCTGGCCGATGCCTCACGGCCCCTGTTTGTTCCAGATCATCGATAAGAGCAAACGCGACCCCTCGGAAGAGATCGAGATTCTCCTGCGGTACGGCCAGCACCCGAACATCATCACCCTCAAAGACGTAAGTGGCCACCAGGTGGCGACGTCGCCCCTGCCTCGCGTTTCTCCACCTGGCCCTGAAAAGCCAGCGTCCTGCATGGCTCACGTGTATGGCTCATGTGTACGGGGCCTGAGCGCATGCCGCACGCACCGCGGACCTTCACACCCGGGTCCACACCCCAGTCACACCCCCGTCCTCCCCAGTCACAGCGTGAAGGGGAGGGAACCGCTGTGGGTTCTAACACCTGTGCATCACAGTCGTTCCTGAATGCTCCTGAACTGGGGACGTGGGAACTGTGGAGCCGATGGGGCAGGGAAGGTCCAGTCGGGGCTCCAGCTCTGGCCGTGGGGCCCTCATAGTTCCTCTGTGGTCGATCCGTGGTCCTTTGTCACATCCCAGCCACATCCCAGCCTGTTGGGGACCTCGGGGGCTCCCCCAAGCCATCCACAAAGACCATGGGGCTCTGGTGTGTGGGGTAGAGGGCAGACTCCCCCTCCTCTCCACCCCAGACTGCAGCGATTCCAGCATCCCGGACCACAACCATAAGACACTGGGGCCACCTCGTTCCCCGCCGGGCCCCCTAAATGCCTAGAGTAAGAGGGCTCCAAACGCCAGTCCACTTCTGAGGGAACGTGGTCCGCGGGCCTGTGTCGGCAGAGCTGGCCGAAGCCTGGCCGGCCTTCCGGCGGGCCCTGGCCACCTGCGCCCTCCTGCCGTTTGTCTTTATTTACACGTTAAGTCCACAGACATCAGCTACCTTGAAAACTCGAGCATTTGAAATCATTTTTATTACGAGTATCATCGTGCATATGTTCTCGAAAGTGGAGCCTTTGTGTTCATAAACTCAGATATAACGCAGCACATCAGCCACATCAGTTATTGACTTGAGTCGAGGAAGGTCATTGACATCATCGTGCATATGTTCTCGAAAGTGGAGCCTTTGCGTTCATAACCTCAGACATAACGCAGCACGTCAGCCACATCGGTTATTGACGTCAGAGTCGAGGAAGGTCATTGATGCGTAGGCCAGAAAGGAATCGCACGCAGGGCTCCCTCCCGTTCTCAGCACGGGCCCCATGCTCAGCGTGACCCGCGCACAGTGACATGAGCGCACTGTGGGCTCGTGGCATTAGCGGTGGTATGACGAAAAGCTCTGGAGTGAAAGCACCACTCTCGCGTGCTAACGGCCGACTGCCGCCCTCCTGTCTGCACCCTGGGCCTGGCTGCTCCAAGTCCAGCCCGTGGCACCATGGCACAGCGGCCCAAGGGCTTGTCAGAAGCGCAGGGTCAGGCTGCCTGCCACCAAGACGGTCCCCGTTGAGACCCGCAGCGCAGGTTGACAGGCCCGGCCCTGGGGACCGGCCGCCGGCGCTGTGCCGGCTCCGTGTGTTCAGCCTCTGAGTGCTGGCTTCTGGGAGGCCACCGCAGCCTTCTCTCAGCTGGACTCTCGTCCGGCAGTTATTAGCTCGTTCCCTGCCAGCAGCAAGTCACGTAAGTGGTTTTGTCCTAAGAGCCACATCTGCTGTGACTAGATGGGCCAGTCACTCATTTCCCACAGAGGTCCTGCACGTTGTCCCGGGGAGCCCTGAGACCCAGGTCCCCTCCGGAGCTGCTGCCCATAGCAGCCGCTGAGGTCGTGCGTCCCCCCTGTCGGCCGCCAGGTCTACGACGACGGGAGGCTCGTGTACCTGGTGACGGAGCTGATGCGCGGCGGGGAGCTGCTGGACCGCATCCTGCAGCACAGGTGCTTCTCCGAGCGGGAGGCCAGCCACGTGCTGTGCACCGTCGCCAAGACCGTGGACTACCTGCACTCCCAGGGGGTAAGATGTCCACCCCCGGCTGTCAGGGCGCCGGGGCGGTCACAGGGTTTCTGGGCTCGGGGCCGGGCGCTCAGGAGGCCCGGCTTCCCTCTGCATGCGTGCACGTCGTGTATCTAGGAGCTAAGGAGGGAAACAGGTTTACCCAGATCAGTCACAGCGAAGAGAGACTGTGGGCTTGATAAGGGGAAGCGCAGCACCCTCGCCGCTTGCCCTGTGCAGGCATCAGTTCCTGGAACACTGTAGACAAGTGGCGGTGAAGCCGGCGGCACACGGCCCCTTGAGCTCGGGGCCAGCACCTCACGCAGAACAGGTGCAGCTTCAGGGCTCCTGTGCGACTGCCATTTCCTGTCACACCGCACAGCAGAAGTCTCACGTCTGCATCACGCACGGGCACATGGGCGCCGGGCCTTGCTGCCCTGTGGCGGGCAGGACGCAAACGTTCATGTGCGCGTCACCCGAACCCACCACGGCGTCCCCTTTCATGTCACGTCCCCAGTAAGCTGTTCCCGCATCTCGGATGTCCACGTGTGTGTGTGTGTTTGTGTGTGTGCGCGTGCGCGCGCATGTATGTGTGCATGCATGTATGTGTGCATGTGTACACGTGTGTACGCGCACATGCGTGCATGTGTGTGTGTGTCTGTGTACGTGTGTGTGTAATCGCTCAGATGCTCATTCACTGTCAGGGGTCCAGGTTTGCACGTTGATGTGAAGGGGAGGAGAAAGACCCCCCTCGGTGTGGCACCCAGGCTGACTTGCTTCCTGTTACGGCACCCGCTCAGAATAAAGGATCCCTAAATAGCCCCCACCTCCTGCATGCGCCCCTTCTCTTTCCTGCTCCACCCTGGGCCCCCAAGTCAAGTGTGTCTGTCCGTCCTCCCAGGTCGTGCATCGGGACCTGAAGCCGAGTAACATACTGTACGTGGACGAGTCCGGGAACCCTGAGTCCATCCGCATCTGTGACTTCGGGTTTGCCAAGCAGCTGCGAGCCGAGAACGGGCTGCTCATGACACCCTGCTACACGGCGAACTTCGTGGCTCCCGAGGTAAGGGGGCCCCGGGTAGACTGGACGGCAGAGACGTCTCGGTCCGGGTCGGCAGTGATGGTAGAGAATAGAAATAGAAATGGATCAGAAAACAGCCACTGGTCTTGCTCGAACACGGTTATTTTATTTTCCTGTCCGTAGAATGTCTGAAGGTGACTGTCCACCTAAAAATAAAAAGATTTTCAAAGTGAGAGACAACGAGCATTTACGTGTGAGCAGAGGAACAGCTGTTCAGGAAGCGCTGGTTCAGGCAGGAACCCAGACAGTGTCCGACGAGGGGGCGAAGGCGGGGGGCGGGGGGGACAGTGGCACCCGCAGAGGGCGGGCGTTGCTCCTGGTGCAGGAAACACGGCATAGTGACGCCGACTCTCAACAGCGGTTTTAACGTTCAGTCCGGTAGCCACCAGTCCAGTCGTCATGGAAGCTGCTGTCTTGTCACCCTCACTGCCTGCCCTTGGGGACGCCAGGAGGTTGCTTTAGGCCCCGTCCGAAGGTGACCCTGCCCTGGCGTAGCCAGAGGCGTGAGGCGTCAGACGCGCAGGGCAGCTCCCCCGGGACGCGGCTCTGGCTCCGTTTATTTATTTTTTACGTGACACTTTGATGTAAAAAGGCACCGTGCCGTGGACTGTCTGGTAAAGTCTGCGTATCTGTTAGCTACACCGGGAAGTGGCGCCATCGGAGGGGGGCGCTGTGGGACCCACAGTCTGTGATCCCCAGTCCCCCTGCAGCCGCACTGGGGGGTGCCGCAGGTTCGTGGCCGGCCGAGCTGTGATTCCTGCTTCAGGTTGTTCTCCAGGACAGGAGCAAGCGAGCAGCTGCCCACGTCCGCCGGGGCCCCGCAGAGTGGGCAGGCGGGAGCCACGCAAGCCCACGCGCCCGCCCTGCCCGTCATCTTGGACGTCTCCGAGGACCCGAGAACCCCGGGGTCATTCCATTAGGGTCTGAAGTCAGTCACAGGTTGATAGAGATAAATCCAGTTTCCTGCTTTTTAGAAAAGCAGCCAAGCCTGAGATGCCGTGAGAGCAGGTCTGGAAGGCAGAGGCTGATGTTGCTGATGGGATTGGGGGGTGGGGCAGGGGTCAGGGGTCAGGAGGAAATGGACGTTAGGTTCTGTGCGGGTCCCCCTGGTTGGCGATGAAGCCGTGAGAGGCGTGTACAGCGTGCCCCACGCAGAAGGCACGCTGGCTCCTCGCGGCTGGTCTGAGCCGTCTGAGGGGCAGGTACTGGTCCGTGAGGAGGGTGGCAGTCAGATGCCTGCTGCAGACACGCACGGATCTGCGTCGGGCGTTTTCAGGTCATCCAGACATTATTCAGACTCTACTGTGACCCCTTCAAAAATAATCTGGTAATAAGCCTCTACTATTGCTTTGTTTGATCAATATTAGTATTAATAGTATTGATTTTACTGATTGTACAGTACCTTAAATTGTCATTTACAAAGCGCTTCTATCTATTTTTTTCTACTTTTATCCTCTTACACCATATGGAGCGGACGGGGTAGGTACCATCAGCTGCGTTTCACAGACGCAAAAACCCCAAACTCCTTATGGTGAAGTGAGACCCCCCAGCCGGTGAGCTAGCCGTGAGGTGAGGGCCGGACGGTGAATGGCAGTTCACCTGCGTGTCCTGGCTGACCACCTCCAGGCTGCAGGCACCGTGCAGCGTCAGGCACTGGGATGGGGAGACGGGCTGGGGCCTTGGGCACAGCGCTCCTGGCCCTCACTAGCGCTGCAGCCGGGGGCCGCGGTGACCCCGACGTGTGTGCTTTCCTTGTTCGGCTCAACTGCAGATGTGTCGGAGGGTGGCCCTCTGCTGAAGCATGTAATCCAGGGACACGAGGAAATTCTTAATGATTCCTCAAAAAATCTCAGCGTAGATGTACCATGTTCACGGCAGTGCGATCCACAGTAGCTGAGAACTAGACGCACCCACGGGCCCATGGGCGGCTGAACGGATGAACGAAACGTGGTCCATCCACACGGTGGGACATTATTCAGCCTTAAAAAGGAGGGAAATCCTGTCCCGTGCACCAACATGAGGACATGACACGAAGCGAGATAAGCTGGACGGGAAAGGACAAGTGCCGTGTGACTCCACTTACGTGAGATCGCCGGGTGGTCCCCTCCACAGAGACAGGAAGCAGATGGCGGGACCCGGCTGGGGGAGGGGTGGGGAGTTCGTGTGTCCCGGGGACAGCGTTTCAGTTTGGGAGAAAGAAAGAATTCTGGAGACGGTGGCCGAGACGTGAATGCCTTAGTGACACTGAACCATGCACTTAGAAATGGCTACGACGGCGATCTTCACGTCCTGTGTACTTTACCGTGATAAGAAAAATCCTTCTGCTTAAAAACTCAGTACTTCCTCTCCGTCTGCCTGTCCTGTCTCCGGCAAGAGCCGCGGTTCCTGTCTGTGGTTTTTGGGGAGCCCCAGTTGGCACATTAGAGTCAGCTCTGCCCTGATGCAAGGCTGCCCTGTTCCTGCCCTGCTGGGGTCACGGTCCTATCAGAACCGTGTGCTGCGAACTCGAATGTCATCGCTTTTTCCCTTCCAGGTCCTGAAGCGGCAAGGCTATGACGCCGCATGTGACATCTGGAGTTTGGGGATCCTGTTGTACACCATGCTGGCGGGGTAAGGCAGGCCCTCAGGTGTTGGCATTCGGGGGCAATCTTGCACACAAGATGGGGGGCAGGTCCCCAGGGCTGTCCCTCTGGGGCCGGTGGGGGCCTGTCCCCACGGCACAGGTGTGGGCAAACCCTCGACTTCCTCGGCCCCTCTCAGAACGGAAGACCGAGGGCAGAGGTTTAGCCCCGTGTCTTTGTTAAAGGTGGCTCCAGAGTCAGGGCGCTGGGACCGCGGAGCTCGGGTCATCCACACAAAGCCCAGGCCCAGGCCCCGGCGCCACACCCTCGCCACTGCCCCCGCCACTCCAGGTCACGACACCTGCTGCTCAAAATCATTCTCTTGAGCCAAGAGGCAGCCATAGAAGCTTCTCGGTCGAATGGCACCTTGAAGGAGGCCAGTGACGGCTCTGCGACCGGCTCTCGTGCCAGCAGACGTGCATGCACGGGTCACCTGCTGTCGCAGGACGAGGGTGGCGTCTGCTGCCTGGGCCCCGCCCCTCACGAGCCCTGCTCCTGTTGACCTCACTCTGAGGGAAAGTCTAGAATCCTAAGAAACCCTCTGGTTCCTGGCATTTTTAAGTCCACCAGCTGCTTGAGCGGAGGGGAACAGGGGCGTGGCGTCTAGATGGCCAGTCCTGCTTAGCGAAGGGACAGTGCTCTCACAAGAACAGACGGGCATGGCCTGCTTTTCCCGTGGCCGTAACGGGGCGTTTCATAATAAAGCAGGCGTTAGCGTCCACCGTGGACGGAGAGCAGTGTGTGGCGTTTCCTGATGGCACACTGCTGAGTTCTTCGCGATTCTTCTGCTGCTCATTCTGCTGCACGTTAGACGAAGGTCACGGACTTCGCACTACAGGAAGTGCTGCTAGACGCACGTGTCACTCCGCTCCTGGGGGAGCAGATGCTGACGAGCCCCGCTTATGCCAGGGGGCGACGGCATAGACACCCTCACTCACGTGCGAGGAACAGCGGCTGCCCGCCCTGTGCGTGCGCCCGTGTGTGTCACTGCTGAGGTCCCCATGAGCACGTCATCCAGCTACCCATTCACGTGTCCATTTTGCAGTGGAAGCTCAAAAAATTAATTAGGCCGTCGGTCATAGGTCAGCCAGGGTCTCAGACTCCGCCTGTCAGCTCTCACCCAGGTATGACGCTGCTTCCATAGAAACCACAGCACCAGGCCACCCACTGCGCGCACAGTCACCAGGGAGGCGGGGAGCGGTCCCTTCACTTGCCCTGTCGACCCCCAGCATTGGCCAAGTCGGGAAAATAAATTAAGAAATAAATTGTTTTTCCATGAGTCCTGGATTTGGAGCATAGTGGGAAGGAAAAAGCTGTTTTTAACAACAAAGAGGCGATACCCCGTTGTGAGCTTGGATTTAGATTATGAAATGGAAGCTCATGACCACGAACCTCTCCTCACGCAGATTCACCCCGTTTGCGAACGGGCCAGACGACACCCCCGAGGAGATCCTGGCGCGGGTCGGCAGCGGGGAGTACGCCCTCTCCGGCGGGAACTGGGACTCCATATCCGACGCGGCAAAGGTGAGCTCGGGCCCGGCGCCCTCGCCAGGGGTGGGGCCCGGAGCCCTCTGTGACAGGGCCAAGGACGCCTTTCATGGGGACTGTAGAGATGTTTTATCACATAGATTTCGTTAAAGCTGCTCAGCTAAAAAAAAAATTTCTGGCAGAAATATTTGATGGTACAGTCTTGATGTGTCAGGGTCTCCGGAGAAACAGCCGGCAGAATGCCTGTGCGTACGTGATAAAGAGACAAGGACAGATTCATGTTTAAGAAACTGGCTTACGTGATTGTGGAGGCTGGACACTCAGGACAGCAGATGTCGCCGCTGGAGCCCAGAGGCTGTCTGCTTTCAGAAGTCTCTCTGCCTCGGGGACCCAGGGTTTTCATTCGTAAAGCCTTCGCCTGCTCGGACGAGGCCCACCCACAGCATGCAGGGTCATCTGCTTTACTCAGAGTCGACCGATTTAAATGTCAGTCTCATCTAAGAAACACCTCACAGAAACGTCTGGACTGATGTTTGACCAAACGCTGGGTACCAGGGCTGGGCCATGACGTGTGAAATCACCCTCAAGCTGCCAGTGACGCTACAGAGTGAGCTCCCTGAATGACCACAGACCGACCAGGTGGATTGAGCCTGGTGCCGAGGGGCATTTCTCTTAGGACACTCTGCATCTGTGCTGCTCCACAGCAGTGGCCGGCCTCGTTCGTTCCGTCCATCGGACTTGATCTTTTTTAGTTGACATCGTCAAACTTCTCTTTAATCAAAGAGTACGTTAGACCCCCAGCGCTAGTGAGAAGCAGCGTCAAGTCTATTTCCTGGGTAACTGTGAAGGCACTAGAGAGGCATAGATGGTCTGGAGGCCCGATTCCAGCCCTGCCCCCGCCGTCGGTGTCCGCCCTCCTTCACGGAGGGCGCGGGGGCCAGCGGGGCTGATGGCGGAGGAGATGGAAGAGGACATGGTAGAGTGATGGCAGAGGGGATGACGGAGGGGACGCTGAGGAAGATGGTGGAGGAGATGGCGGGGATCATGGAGGTCATGGAGGTCATGGAGGTCATGGAGGTCATGGAGGAGGCAATGGCAGAGGGGTGATAGCTGCATTTAGTGAGCACTTCCCATGTGTCAGGCCCTGACATTCCCAGTGCTCCCTCCCATCCGCTGTCTGAGATGGGTGTAGGAATCCTCAGTTCTGGTTCCTGCCGTAGAGCCGCAGACCCGGACTTGGGTGCTGATGGTGTCTTTGGCAGGAGTTGGGGGCAGGCAGTCAGGACAGGGGTAAACTCATGTACTGAACACAACACCGACAGCACAGGTGCAGGCAGAGGGCCTGACGGTTCCCCAGGACCTTGCACAGTCCTTCCTGCTCCGTCACGGCCACGTCCTCCCCTCCCGCCGTCCCTGGTGCCTTTCCCCATCTCCATGCTCGCAATACGACGAAGCCTCCAGGCCCCAGCAGCAGCCGACGCCTGCGGATCCACGTGTTTTCACTTCGTCTGCATCCTGCACGTGTAAAACACATGCTTCACTGTACGATCGTGAGCAAGTCCACATAGGTCTCTGCCTTCATTTTCACTCCTGGAAACGAAACGTCGGCACGTCCAGAGGGCCTTTGTCTCAAGGAGTTGCCGAGATTCACGTTAGTACGTGTTAGCAGGCGTTGGATGTCTCGGGGGAAAATGGGTGCTGATGGAGTGCGTGGCGCTGCTTCGCGGTGGTTATGACCGGAGCTGTGCGGAGCGCTTCGGCTTCCCCGCACGCACATACGCCGATTGGCTGTTTTCACGTCGCGGCGTGTGGGGACGCCACGGAGCGGGCTCTCGCCGTCGGTCTTTCCTGGGCACCAGGTCAGTCACTGCGGGTGTCAGCGCCTCATCTACAAAACAAAGTAAGCCACCCTCTTTCCCCCACGGACGGTCCCGGGGGCTCAGAGGAACAGGTGCGTCAGCGAGTGAAGGCAGCCTCAGGAACACTGCGCAGGTGCAAATGACGGTCGTGGTGGTGGGCGTGCGTCCACGTGGGTGCTCACGTGCACATGGACCGCAGCACGCGACTAACGTGAGACTCTGTGTTTAACCACTTTTCGGAGTTTTTATTATTTCTTTACAATCGCATAGGAAAATCACGTCTGTTGGACAGGAGCCCATCAGACACGTGCGATGGCTACAGATTGTCAATTCCATGGTCGGTGATTATTCGTAGCAAATGTCCGTGCCTAATTCTGATAACAGTGTAACTACGCGCATTGTCACGCATTGGTGTCTATACGTAGGTTATTCATTATTTCACTTTCTCCCTTTGGAGGGAGACCGCGTTTCATAAAATAGTCTTTCGTTAGGTCATGTGCACCATTTAACATCTCACGTTCGAGTTCTCTGTAGACGTCAAATCTTTAACACAAAGTAAACCTGGGGTGAACCACTAAGTTGGTGATGGTTAAAACTTAGAAACCGTGACATACTTAAAACCTGAAAAATAAACACTTGACCCCTGAAATGCAAAGAATCGCTCCGTGAACAGTGGACGAGTTTTGCCGGAAGAGAGAGAGGAACTTTGCTAGGGAGGCTCCGTGAAAGGCACTGATCACGCGCCTTCCTCCCCGCCTCTGACCTTCTCTGACAGGACGTGGTGTCCAAAATGCTCCACGTGGACCCCCACCAGCGCCTGACGGCCGTGCAGGTCCTGAAACACCCGTGGATTGTGAACAGAGAGGGCCTGTCCCAAAACCAGCTCAGCAGACAGGACGTCCACCTGGTGAAGGTACCCACAGGTGTAATGGGAGCAGAGCGGTGGGGGTGGGAGCCCAGACGAGCGTGCGCTTAGCCCTGAGGTCACAGCGTGTGTGAAGAAGTTACCGCTACACGTTCCGTCACGTGTGTGCAGTCACGCAAAGCTGAATGAGCTGCAGCTTCTGTTAATGTTGCTAACAGCATGAAAGAGAGTGCGCGTGAGTGTGAGTGAGTGACAGGGAGACAGACAGACAGACTGGGAGGAGAGAGAGGCGGAGGGGGCAGTCTCGTGGCTGTGCCAACTCCAAGTCCCAAAGCCCTCGATTCTGGCCCAGAGGGCTGCAGGCTTCTCTCTAGCTGCCCAGACAGTAGGTACCTCAGGCTTTTGGAGCCGAGTGTGTGTCATGGACTCAGCATCACCAACGTAGCACGGGGCGCCCTGGACCACAGCCCCGCGGGGGTGGCTGCGCATCAGTAAGACTCTGCTCGCAAAGCAGGGCGCTGGGCCGGGCAGCCCTGTGGACGGTGACCCTGTGTGACACCCCTGCTCCCTGCCTTCATCTTCCTCGTCGCTTTCCCCGCAAAGCAGGACAGAATTGGGCTCTGCCTCTTAGATGAGCGTGTGCCGAGACCGGGGGCCGTGGGTGGAGCGCAGGTCGGGGACGCCGGCCCTCGGCAGGAGTGTCTCACCCCAGGACCGGCAGTGGCCACTCATTTTGTCCGTGTGTTACCGGAGACTCTTGCCAAGGACACTCCCCAACCTCTTGATGCAACTGCTGTCTCTGAGTCACTGCAGTCACTGTCCTAGAACCTGCCCAGCAAGGCCGTGGCTTCCGGTTATCCGTCATGCACCCTCTGAAGGCAATCCAGATGGACTGACGGCCATCGGAGGTGGGGGGTCCACACTGCAGAGCGAGCGGGCTCTGCCTCCCGTGCTAGGCGGTGACCCCTGGTGCTGCGGGGAGGCCTGAGGCCGGAGCGCTGCCCGTCCCAGGCCCAGCCCGCAGCTGTTGGAGATGCAGCCACAGAGGGTGCACTCCAGACCCCTCGTCCTGCACAGCGTGTCCAGCGGCCTCGCCCACCTCTTGGTTTGTGATTTTAATCCGTTCCCACGGCCCCCGAGCCCCTAGATCGACGCTCAGAAGCACAGCGTAAAGCGCGCCCAGGTTCAGTGGGCAGGTGACCCACCTCGGGGCAGCGTTCGTCTCACGGTGGCCCTGGACTTGGGGGCTGCCCAGCCTGCGGGGCTGGGAGGTGCCCACGGTCCAGGCAAGACGACCCCCAGCGCTCGAGCTGCTCCGGGACTGAGGCTGAGCTCCCAGTCGGCCAAGCAGAGGCGGCTAGGCCGTGGCCAGGCATGAGTGGGGGCCCTCGGGCCCAGCAGCCCCAGCGCAGACCCGGCCCCCCGCCAGCTCAGAAGCACAGCGTAAAGCGCGCCCAGGTTCAGTCGGCAGGTGACCCACCTCGGGGCAGCGTTCGTCTCGCGGTGGCCCTGGGCTTGGGGGCTGCCCGGCCTGCGGGGCTGGGAGG